GGGCTCCGGCCAGAAGCTGCGCTGGGCCCGGTCTCGGCCGCGCCCAGGGGGAAACAGAGCTCCGTCACCGTCCCTGACGGTCACGCGAGGCGCGGACCAGGCGCCGCCCTTCCCGCCTGCCTCCCCCGCCTGGCGGGTGCCCGCCACCTCCTCCCGTTTTCTCACTGCAGCCTCGGCACCAGCCGGGGTCAGGAAGGGCCTGGGGCAGCGAGGGAACCGGGAGAGCCGCGAGGGCCACCCCCGGCCGGCCACGGCTGGCCCTCCGACGGCCACAAGGCACCTCGCCCTACTGCTCCTCTTCCTGTGTCCGGGGAAACGGCATCAGCTCCCATAGTAACGAGGACACCCGAGTGCAGGGACAGTCATTTTGCTGTTCTTTTTAATACAAAAGAGCATTGAAAGCGGTCCCCAAGGACGGGCCGTCCGGACACGCAGTCACGGCGAGGAGGAGCGCGGGGGCAGAGCGGCGCCACACGGGCCTGGGCCTGGGCCTGACGGGGTGGGCGAACGACGCGCCTCTTCCTCTTGCGGCGACAGGACAAACTTCCCAGGGACCTCGGGCACCGAGGGCGGGTCCTGCCCGGGACGCGCCGCAGACCCCGCTCCTCCCGAGGGCCAGGGCGGGCAGGCAGCGCACTCCCACTGACGGAGCTCAGCTGCGGGAACGTGGCGAGGACGGGGCCAGCGGGCGGCTCCCTGGCGCCTGCGGTCCTGCGGGGAGCACGCAGTTAGGCCCTGCCAACGCGCTGAGCGGCGCGCCAACCCAGCTTCCAGAGTCACACTGCCGTGACGCTGACGAAGGCTGGTGTAACTTCTTCTAAGCTTCCCCAGAAGCTGCCTTCTGTTCCTCTCCTTCCTCGTGCATCCTTCCTCTTCCCGTTAATCCTCACTTCTCTCTCAACAGCTGTCTTTCGTTTATCTGCCTCTCTCCTCTCGGGGCCGCCTTCGGCCACAGCACAGGGCGAGGCTCCCCGAGGCGGGCTCCCCACGAGCTGTGCCAGTGGCCTCTGTCGGGATGGGACGGTGGAGCCTGGCGAACTCTCCACTTTCAGCAAGGGACCCACAGGACAGGGCTGTCTGCGGGGCCTCCGCGTCGCTGCCCAGGACACAGCGGACCCGGGCCCAAGGCCCGACAGCCCAGCAGCCCGGAGCCTCCGCCCAGAGGTGCCCGGAAGCCCCGCAGGCACCGCGTCCTCCTGGGGCAGGAAGGGGACCACACCAGGGACCCGAGCGGGTTCTCCTCAGCTCCCGCACAGGCTGCAATACTGCCTCCTCTTAGATGCCTCTCTGGCTCACAAACAGAGTTACTAAATTCTGATTCCAACAAATCCCTTACGGTTTTTCACCACATGTGCACGACGCCAATGTTTCTCGCTCTAGTGCTGGGGATGGAACTCAGGGCCTCGTTCACGCTAAGCATGCGCTCTGCCACTGAGCTGTACTCCTGGCTTGGCGGGGCCGACTTTGGAGGTTTCGTTTTCCAAATTGTTCCCGAAGCTCCCTCGTAACACAGAGCACTGCAGAGCTGCACTGTCTCTCCGCCACTGGGGCCAGCTCTCCTAAGGGGATCACTTCATAATGTCCCCGTGCTGCCGGCTCTGTACAGAAGGTTCTTTTCCAAGTGTTTATAATTCTGTAACAACTCAGACTCTCTTACCCTCTCAGCAAAACACTATAAACTGCGAGGGAAACCATGAGGGCAGGCGGCAGCCGCCCCACGCTTCGGCAGGGAGCAGCTCCCGAGGCCTGCAAGCTGTCACGAGGCCCCGTCTGTCGGAGCGGGGAGCGACAGCACCCTTTCTGGCAGGGCCACAGGGAAAGATGGAAGCCATCCAGAGGGCAGCCAAACTAACACGGCCCCCGGGGAGAGGCCCAGCACGACAGCCAGCAGGTGCTAAGCGCAGGGTGGACGCTCGTGGGGCACGGCGGGGCGCTGGGTGCTCACAGGGCCGGGGCGGGGGTCCTTCCCGCTCCTCCCTGCACCTTTCGCCTTCCTAGACCAAGTTCCGGGGTTACCAGGGGCGGTGAGGAAAAGGCACGGCTCTCCCTGCGGCCGCGCCCTTCCCAGGAAGTGAGAGGCCAGCGCTGTGACAGGCACAACGCGGCTGTGGGGACCCGGAGGTGCCCCGGGCTGGGCAGCTGCGCATGCCCTCGGAGAGGCCGGTGCTCCGGGGAAGGCGACCCCGCCACTCCCCGCCAGCTCGGTGGGGGCCGCTCAGCCTGGCCGGCTTCACAGGGCTCAGGCCTGGACGGCCGGCACTGTGCCTACCGACCTCACTTCAGGCTCACTCTTCTTGTTTCTGCCGTTTTCCTTTGCCTTCCCTTACTTTAATGCTACTTTTCATTTTACTGTGTTGTGTTTATACACTTAGATCGCACGTTCACGATGGGGCCGTCCTTCCCGTCTGGCAGCTGGGTGGCTCTGAACCACCACTGGTACATGCATGACTGTGCCGTCAGGTGGCATGGGACAGTCCCCAAAACGACCCCACACGTACCTACCACTGCTGTGTTAAGCTGGCAGGGACATGTTAAAAAAATTTTGTAAAAAGGTTACGAAAGAAATAACCTTTTCTTTCATAAGAAATAACGGTGATCATTGTTACTGACTTTTCATAAAATTCTACTAACCTGGAGAACATTATAATTTTTTAAAAAGTGTTGTTCTGTAGTTTTGAGAGCCCCCAAACTGTCTTTTATAAAATGTTATTTTCTTAAAAAAAAGAAAGAAATTTGTTTCACTTTGACTACTTCTTATCCCAAATCCCACAGAATAATCAATGCCTTGAATAATCTACGCTGGACACCCCGGAGGGGGAGCTATCTGTTTATACCGCCACACCCAGGGCACCGTCTCGGTGCAGACAGCGACCGCAGAGCGCATCGGGTCCCCACACCTGCACCCAGCAGCCTGGCCTCCCTGGAGCCTGCACGGCCCCTGCCCACAGCGCCCAGCATGCAGGGCCTGGAACGGGGCCAGTGAGTGCCCTTCGGAAGGCCACCCGGGGGACACGGAGGCCCCAGCCTCACACCACAGCAGCTCTGGCCACCTGCGGCAGAGCACTCCGGGCTGCGCCCCACTTACCATAATGACAGAGACCCCGGTGGTGGTGCTGTTCTGTTTGGGGAGCGCGTTATTAAAGTGCTGTTTTAGTTTACCTGTGACCTCCGCCTGCATATTGTTCTCCTGGGAGGCATCATCCTGTGGAAAACGACAGAATCGAACGCAATGATTTCTGACTCGCACATCTAAGCTGTCTTCTGTAACCGTTACCATGGGCTCCAGGCACCTGGCCTCTTCCCAAATGGCTCCATCTTAGACACACGATTACGGCGGCCCACACGTGGTGCAACGGCACGCCCTTGGTGCCCCCGGCCACCTGGGAGCCTGAGGCGGGCCGATCGCTTGAGCCCATGAGTTCAAGGCAAGCCTGGGCCACACAGTGAGGCTTCATCTCGTATTTGGAAAGGAGGCGGAGGTTGGGCGTGCAGCGCAGGGCTAGCACCTGTGGTTAGTGTGAGGCGGCCCTGGGGTCCGCCCCAACAAGCCCCCAAGCCCATCGCCCTGCATCAGCCTGCACTGCTCACAGAGATGTGGTGTCTCGGCTACTTACTCCCAAGGCCGCGTCGTCTGGCCTAGGAAAGCCGTGGGCAGAGCAGCGAGGCCCACAGGGAGCCCGGGCCAACCAAAGCCCTTGGCTAACAAAATTAACTCTCCTTCAGGAGACATCTGCAAATGGGAGGCGTACACCCTTCCGTCACCATTTAGTGAGCTGTTTCCCCCCGAGTGCGCCCTCGTCAGCGCCACACCCTCTGCCCGCCTCCAGCAACGCCTCCCGGGACCCCTGGGACGCAGATCACACGCTCGTCCACTGGGCACAGCCTGAGAGCTCAGGCCCAGTGACAGGGACAGGGGAGTCCCACGGGCTTCCTCAGGAAGCGCAGAGCCAGCCCCGCCCTTGGAGATGAGGACACTGAAGCTCAGCAGGGCCAGCGGCTTGCTCGGCTACCAGAGAGCAGGACCTATGGCTCTGGGGCCCTGGTGTCAACTGCTTTCTCCCAGACAGCTCCCTTCCTGCTACTCGCTCGTGGGGCCTGAGCGACACTTTGCCACAGAGCTTAGCTGCACAACTTTGCTGGTGCAAAACGCACAGCCAGGCCTACCACTGGCCACAGAAACACAGCTGCCCGTCCCTGGAATGCGGGTACTTACTGACACCCAGGGGTGACTCAGGATTTGTCCTGCAGTACATCGAGCTTCCACGTTCACCTGAAGCATCTGACTGATTAGCTCCTAGGAAGAGAGAAGGCAAGGAGGAAGACCACAGAGGAGGAAGGGGACACTTGCAGCGCACGTTCACAAGTCTGAACTCCAGCACGCACTTCAGCCAACACTGCCACGCAGGCGTCCGAGCTCAAAAGCTAACACCCCTGTCCTCCTACTGCCAACGGGGACGGAGACACAGCTACCTCCGTCAGCCCCAGAGCGGGAGAAGAGCTTACAAAGCCTAGACGTTCTCCCTTGAAAGTTCTGGGCATTGTCCTCATCCCACTGGGTAATACTGCAGGGTTTTCCCCTTCGCAGTTCAGTGTTCTCTTGAGTTCATCCCTGTATTCTGATGGGCGCCCAGTACACAGCTCTTGAACTGATGGAAGAATTAGTGCTTACAGGTTAGAGGAGCGAAAGGAAGGTATGGCAGCTAGGAAGACAGCCATTCTGGCTTCCAAATCTTGCTCAAGAACTTCTGAGACGGTACCATGGGATGAACTTAAAGGACCACACGTGAAGCGTCCGTCATCCCTTTTTTCACACTGTGAGTCACTGTGGCCCGCCACGCGGCACACCCCGCAGGGACAGGCAGAGATGGTACCTTGGCTGAGTCAGTGATGTTATCCCAGTAGGGGGCTGGGAACTCCAGCTTCCCAGCCAAGATCTGGTCGAAGAGATCCTCCTGGAGATTGTTCTCACTAAGTCAGGGACACAGAAATGGAAGAAAAGCTGAAGTCAGCACAGTGTAACCAAATGCTCACGGGAAGAATGGGGAGGAGTCAGCACCTTCGGCACTTCAGGTCTCACTGCTGTGTCACCACTGCATTTGTGATGACAAGGTTTTCCTTTCAGACAAGGAGCCGACGAAAATGTCCATGGTCTGACAATCAGATGAGGGCAGAGACAGAGACAATGACTCGAAAAAACCTGCTGAGTGGATGCTGAGTTCCAGTTTGGGAATCTGAAAAGGTCCTGGAGGTGCAGCGTGGCGACGGTCACACAACACGTGAATGTACTTAATGCGACTGTGCTATACACACAAAAACAGGACGGAGGCCGGGCGTGGGCGTGCTGGTGCATGCTGGGAGTCCCAGCTAACGGGGCAGCTGAGCAGCGGGGGGACCCGTGAGTGCAGGGATTTGAGAACAGCCTTGGCAACAGAACAAGCCCCTACCCTCGAGGGGTAAAAGGTTAAGATGAAAGCTTCTGTGTGGCTCATAACCACAATGACAAAGATTTATGAAAAAAATGGACTCTGTCAATACTGGAAATCCTCACTTGTGGGGCCATGATCTGCCCTCACTTCTTCTCACCACTGTAAGACTAGAGCAGTCTTGACAAGACTGTTCCAATAAAACAACAAAAGACATCATCACAGTTGGCTTCCAAAATATCCCCCGGCAAGGCTGACTGCGTTGAGGGCCTGGTTGCCGATGGGCTTTGGGAGCCCATTGGACGACAGGGCTCCAATTCCAGCAGTGGCAATTCCTGGAGGAGATCAGAGCTGGATGTGTCGCTGGGAGCAGATCACGGGGGTATAGCCTGGAGGGCTGTAGGTCCCCGGCCCCTCCCCTTCTGGCTCTTCCCCTTGTGCTCTGCTTCCCAGCTGCCATCAGTGAGCAGCTCTGCTCTACCACACCCTTCCACAACGTCCTGCTTCACCTCAGCCCACAGCAATGGAATCGCCTGACCACGAACTGAAACCTCTGAAACCATAAGCAAAATACACTCATCCTCCTGGAAGGTGCTTCTCTCAGGAATTTCATCACTGCAATGGAAAGTGACACAAGTAACACAGCCAACATATGACAAAGTCACAGGGAGTCCAGAATCTGGATAAAACATCCACGCCATGAGAACTTGACTTTCATTTACGTCCTGCCTGAGAGCAAGTGCCCAGCCGAAGATACCAACCAGAACTGCAGATGTCCAGGCAAGCTTACTTCGGCTGCTTCTAGGTGAACTCCCCACCCCTAACCCACGCATGACAGTCTCGTCCCCAGAGGGCGTTGGCACACATAGACGATGTCTTCGGAGTAAATAAACCTAGACTTTTGATGGAAGGTTCTAGAAACTGTGGAAACACCTCCAGCCTCCCATAAAACTTAAATCTCCACATCCACAGCACAATTCACATACATGGGAATGCACAGACGGCCAGAGTGAGGAAGAAGTACGTAGCTTCCCAGGGCCACCTCAAGCCCCCAGCAGAACACTCAGAACAGGGATCAAGGCCAGTATCTATACAGGGAAGTTAGTGTCACCTGGCAAGTGTGCATCAGCTCTTGTTCCTTCTCCCCCAACCTTCAGGGATTTTGCTAACTGCTAACTGCTAATTGCTCTCCCAAAGGTGGACAAAGACAAGAGTGGTGTTCACAGAAACAGTTATGCACTTTCTAGAGACAAAGCCCAGATCTGTGTGACGAATGGTGGCCTCACTTGTGTCCTGTTAAAGAGAACAACATAGATCTTGTGAGCTCTGAATTTCCACGACAATTAAGCCCAGCTGAAAGGATGGGTGTCTGCCGCTCCTGCAGTCTGGCCAAAGGCACAGGGGGAAGCAAAAGTTAGGCCGAACAAGCAGGCGAGGCAAGAGACCACGCCGCGTGCTGAAAAGTGATTTGCTCTGAGTGCACACAAGTTTCTTTCTAGGTGGCACAACGTCTTCTCACCTTTCCACTGTTATGTCCTCACTCTCTGAACTCCTTCAAAATGAGTGAAAGACAGTGAGATTTTATGGAAATCTTTAGAAAATCAGAACAGATAATGTCCAAAGATACTTACGAAATGATCTATTTCCAGAACTGTTCCTTTTAGCCACCCTTCCATTTATTTCTTCTGGAATCACAAATAGTTTACCCGCGTTAATCCCTCGCTTTTGTCCTGTAGTGGAAGCCAGCGGACTGTCCCTAGCAGTCCCTTCACACAGTGGGCTCCCGGCAAAGCAGCCTGAAGCAACAAACAAAGCCCCAGGCAATGCGGGAACAGGGCCGAAAGAGTGGTACTGCTTACACCCTGCCCACCCGGACAGAACAGGGCTCACACGTCTGCTTGCTGGTGGGCATGGAGGAAAGGATACCCTGACTGAACCACGCTGGATTTATTCTCACAGTTACACTCCGAAGACTGCCGGAGATACCACAGGGCACTGTTTTATCCTTACACAAGAGCCTGGGGCTCAAGGTGCCGTAAGTGTAGAACTGTCCATTAAGATAAAGCTCAAAATCAGCAACAGGGTCCACGCACAGTGTCTCCGTCAATGAAAGACCCTAGCGGCCAGAAAAGGTAGCTGAACAGTGTTATATGTGATTTCATAAACAACGCTCAAACCACTCACTGAGTGTGTGTGTGTGTGCGCGCGCGCGCGTGCATGTGTACGTTCATGTGTCTATGTGTAATAATCTCACTACAGTCTCTCTCTCACACACACACACACACACACACACCTGTTACCTGCAGCTCTAAGATCCGACATTATTAGGCAACAACCAAAATTTGGGGTGCCTCTGAAAACCCAATTTTCTTAATGAAGATAGCTCTGATGCCAAAGAAGAGGGGAGCAAGGACACCCAGCAAGCTAGGACTAAACCCCAAAACTCTGAAGGCAGAAAGAACGAGAGATATTACACCTCAAAGCACTGACACTGTAAATCCCGAACAATAATTTCAGTTCAAAAGCTGTGGATTTCAGTTGTCTTTTACATAAAACAAAGTACTTCAAAATCGCCGTTCAATGGGCTTTTACTTCAGTTACAATTTACGAAGACAGCTATTTGCTACCCCAGTCATGTATCACTTGCAGGACAACTGCTATAATTTCCCACCTACATTTTATAATAACGATAGAAGGTGGTGAGATCCACGCAGCGTCCCTATCTGCTGTGAAGACATTCCTGCGACTAGTGCTAACAGCAGAGCTTCTCTCAATACCCTAGGACAGGAAAGAAGGAAAGCACGTTCGAATATCTAAAAAGTAAGCTACCTGGGGTTTTACGCCCCGCTGCTGAATGTAATGTATGAGAGCAGCAGCTTTCACAGCGCCGCTCTTCTGCTTTTGATTAGCCACAGTCAACCCAAATCCCACAAAGAAGCTGCCGCCTGCTGGGTAACAACCCACGATAAATGCACACTGTTTAGTCAGAGCCCCATGTTTGCTAAAACCAAAAACCAAACCAAAACCAAAATTAAAAAAAAAAAAAAAGCCCCTGCTGGCGGGCTGCAGTGGTAACTGGAAACACTAGAGGGAGTAGGGAGCACGCACGCCTCTAAAGCTGATCCCGGGTACCGGCTTCTGGGCTTCTGGGCTTCTGGGCTCTCGGCTCGGGTGGGTGGGGAGAGCGGGCTGTAACTGGCCAGGATCACCTACGACCCAAACACGCTACCCTTCTACACCGGACGGGCCCCCAGCAGTTCAGCCCCCAAGCAGCCAGAGACCAGTGAGCCTGTGAAAACGGCCACAAAGGACAGTATCCGCCCACCACCCCAACGCGCGCGTTTGTTTTCTTTCATTTCCCCCGCATTCGCTTTGGGATTATCTGTGAGACTTACGATGGTCACTGGGACATCAACAGTGTGAGGGGAGCCGAGACAGTGACCGGGCAGTGGAACCTGCCCCCCTCCCTGGCTGCTCTGGGAGCCCTGCCTCCAACATCATCCGAAGCCAGGCTAGCCCCTGGTTGACAAGAAGACAAGTGGCCAAGCCATCTGCCATCCCAGACGACATCAAGCCAAACCCCAGGCATGGGGGTGAGGCCACACCGGGCCTCTGGTGAGCCAGCACTGAAGAGCCACCCAAACAATCCACAGGACCGTTCCTCATGCTCCGCTGTGGAGTTTATTAACTGCCAAAGCTACCCAACACTGCGCGCTAACCCTGCAGTCTGTGCGGCCCACTGAGGCTTCACCGCCTCCATGAAGATGAAAGAGCATTCCGCCTACGAGGCCGCCCTCCTGGAAGATCCCACACCGACACTCTCCTTCCAGCAAACCTTAACATGCTGCCCGCCCTCACCAAGCCCCGCGCCACACACCCTACGGTTCTCGTGACGTATGACTCTGTACCACACAACTCTCGGAAGCGGAGAACAACATCTGCGTTGTTCTTCTGCTTACAGCAACTGCTCATAAAAACACACCGGGCTCAGGTGAAAGGCTGCCTTTGAGAAAGATAAAGCCTTCCCCTTTTCTGGAAAGTTTTCATTAAAAATGTTGAGGGAGAAAAAAGAAACCTATTTTTTCACTTACTGATTGAATACAGTCAATACCATACCACAGGCTGCATGTCTGTCTCCCCGAAATGCATCGGTTGAGACCTAACCCCAGGCAACAGCACTAGGAAGTGCGGCCTTTGGGAGGTGTCCAGGCCACGAGGTACCGCCTTCGCGAGCGGGGACAGGGCCCTGATGAGAGACCTGGCGGTCCCCTCCCCCGTCCACTCTGGAAGAGTGAAGACACAGCTGAGTAAGAACCAGGAAGCGGGCTTTTACCAGACAAGTCTGCCGGCGCCTTGATCTTGGACTTCGCCGCCCGTAAGCAGTGAATTTCCATCGCCTGTAGGCTACAGGGTTCATGGTAGCAGCCCAAGCAGACGAAAACACCGCAACTTCAGGGGTCATGCTTTACCCACTGCTTTCTTCTCCGCACTTACAACAGTGCCCGGCAAACAGTGGCTACTCATAAAGTACTCGTTCATAAAGTGAACAGAGGGATTAAAATGAAAACAGCTCAAGGAAATACAGAAAATCAAACAGACGAACTGCTGCTTCAAAGTCATTTATTACTCCAGAGAGAGAAGAATCCACTCGAGATTTGTGGCCAAACTCCCTCGCTGAGTCCCGGGACCAGCCGCCCTGTTCGCAAGGACACGGACACCCGGCCAGCTGCCCGCGGCCACCTCAGCTCCCGCCAGGTGAGGCACCCTCCTGTCAGCCGCTTGCTTCCCAGCTCATTGGTGCCAAAAGTGTTTTAAATTCGACTTCTCAATTACATATCATGCGCAGGGTTAAGCTGAAACTAACAGGGAAGAGTTCCTGTCTCCTTGAGAACAGACGTGAATGCTCCTGGAAGATTATATAAACACTACCGTAAGGTGAGTCGGACGACTGTCAAGCGCTGGACAAGGTGTGTCTGGAAGGATTCAGCGTGTTCCACAGGATGACTCTCATTTAAAAAGCCTGAGAGGCTGGGGCCGCAGCTCGGAGGTAGAGAAGCTGCCTAGCACAGGCAAAGCCTCGGGCTGGGTCCTCAGGACTGCCCCCACCCAGACTGAGACACCAGAAATTGTAGACTCTGTATTACAGATCTGCAGGAACTGCCTGAAGGAAAGGCCACAAGAAACGCGAAGCACCGTGCACAGAACAAAGGCCTGGATCACCCGTCCAAAGCATGGCCAGGCTGGATGCGCGGCTCGGCGGGGCAGCAAGCACGACACTGGCCAAGTGGGAAGCTCTGGGCTGGATCCCTGACACAATGAACGAACGAATGAGGCGGGGAGGAAGGGAGGGAGGGAGGAGTGGCCAACGAATCTACATTAGGTTGTAAAGTAAGACAAAAAGGGATACGTTTCTATAGATTTTAACTAGCATTTTTACTGACCAACCCATTTCACGTCCTGACTACCACGAGTAAAGCACCTGGGAATGTTTAATTCAAATACAGTCACTGGAAGCACCACTGACCTTCGGAATGGTGGGAAGCCACACAGGAGAATGTACGTGATCACGCCGGCTGCCCAAATGTCCACCTTCAGGCCGTAGCTGGAAAAGCAAGGAGGCGGCAGGTAAGGACTGTGGGACCTTCCACACAGAGTCCTTGGGGTCAAAGCGCTCCATTCACGAGGAGGAACGGCTTGCCGTTTCGACAGTCATCTGTTTTCCTGTCCACTTAACCGCCATGCTGAAGACCACTGCCATATTCCCAAGAGTGGCCCTGGGACGGAAGCCTGGGCACTTAGCTTTTGGCCAGGTAAGCACAAACTCTAGCTCCCGAGTCAACATCCTGGTGCAGTTACAGTCTCTCTCGCTCTCTTTCTCTCTTCTCTGCCTTCAAAGGAGGCACCGAGTTCACCAGCAGCAGTATCGAAAAACTGTACCTGTGCGCACCAATGTCCACCCCTACCCTAACCCGCAGGAGCCTCACCCGGTCTCAGCGATGATCTCCGGAGCGACGTAGGTGGGCGTGCCGCAGACCGTGTACAGAGGGCCTTCCACCACCGTCGCCAGCCCGAAGTCCCCCAGTTTCAACGACTTGGTTCCGTCGGGGTACTCACACACCTGGAACAGAAAGCCGCTACCGTCAGAGGGTTTTTCCCCTCCACAATTCCAGAGGCAGAAAAGACAGGGTTACATTTATTAATACGCTCAAAAGAAACATCTCCTTGTCATAATCACACTATGATTTCTCTTCAAGATTCTGCACGACTGTGTGTGATTTGGAAGACATTATTTTCCAAATAATGTCTCTGCTGGAAACACCCTGCCCGGGAATCCCTTCGCTCCTGTGCGTGCTCAGACAGCAGCGGGGAGCAGGTGTCTGCTGACTCACAGTCCGGGAGAGGCTCTGCACTTTGTTCTTACCCAGTGTGGGCGACTTAAGCCCAAGAAGGGGTGTTTGTTCAGAGTCCCCCGGTGCCCTTGGTGATCTCCAAGAGACATGCATATTGACTTTAGGAAACAAAGCTGGGGGTGGGGATGGCAGCCTTGTTTCCTGGACCCCATTTCCTGACGGTTAATGATGAAACACACACATTACACACGTTCGCTTTTGTGCTGCTGGAGACGGAGCCCAAAGCCTCAGGCGTGCTACGCAGGTGCTCGGCCCCTGAGCTGCGTCCCCAGCCTGAGGGTCGGACACTGTGTGTGGAAGAAAGCCCTGGAAGTTCAGAAAGCACATGGGCTTTGGGAAGGGATGACCTGAATCTGAATCACAAAGCCGCTCTCTCCTGGTTGCACACAGCCCGTGAAAGCTGCCAAAGCCCTCTCAGCAAGCTTTTCATCTGTGAAGAGGAGATACTAGTGCCTTCCTCGTGAGGGTGAAATGAGACGAAGCGCAGCGCAGGGCTGCTCAGATGCTATCGTGCTGGAAAAGGCTTCAAAATGCTAGAGGAGGCTGCGCAGGGCTGTGCTTCGGGTGAAGCACTGCTTCTCGAAAGCAGTATGCATCGAACCTTACTGGTGTTCACAATCTGACCCAGCAAATCTCTGAGGTCTGCTCCAAGGCACAGAGATAGGCTCAGAAGTTCTAAACCATGATGCCACTGTCAGAACTTACCTGGGATTTTCTAAAAAGTAGAAGCAACAACAACAAAAAAAAAGTAGAAGCAACGTAAATGGCTAACAAGGCAGTGACTAAGTAAATTGTGGTACATTCCTGTAATGGAATATTATGCAGTTGCTACCAATCATGTTTCGAATAAAAAAATATTTTTGAGACAAGGTCTCACTATGTAGTTCAGGCTGGCCTCGAACTCACAGTGATCCTTCTGCCTCAGCCTCCTGAGTACTGGGATTACAGCGTGTGCCACCACGCCACCCAGCTTCAAATAAATACTATCACATGATATTCACTAATATAGTAAAAAAAGTATATGAAGTAAAAGAAAGCTAAAATTATACATGTAATATAATGCTCTAAGAAAGTTAAAAAAATTTATCTCTAGGTGGTAGCATTGAGGATTACTATAATTTTCCTCTTTATACTTTCTAGTAGCTTCCAAAATGTTTAAAATGACCATATACTGGTTCCATAATTAAAAAACACTGATTTTATGGATAGGCAAACTTTCCTTATAAGATAAAAGCCTCAATTTTAAACCCAATGAAAAATAAATAAATAAACAGAATACTGGAAGCACACAAGTATAAATGATGGCATAATTCAGATTTTACTGTGCAATCAATTACTTGCAGGTATAGTTTCTTTGTCCTGTGGATGTCCATTTTGAAAATAATTTAAGGAAAAAAATTGCAGAGTCCTAATCTATACTCATGTCTACTTTTGCATCTTTAAATACATTATTTTGCTTTTCCTGATATTAAACCAGATTTTTATCTCAACCACTACTAACTAAAGGGAGCAAAGACTTTGGAAAATTCTATTTTGTTTAAGGTTAACAGCATGACCTACGAGTCCCATATCTCAGGAAAGGAAGAGATTTACACGCTCAGCAATAAAACCCTAAGATCTCTGGGCTCCACGTGCCAGCAATGCCCCAGCCCCCACGGGCATTCGAGAAAGGGGGGCGCTGGGCAGCGTCAGGCTCAGCACGCAGTACCCGCCTAGCATGTGGCAGCCCCGAGCAGGAGCGCCGGAGAGAGACAACAACGCCCGCCTTTACCCACAATGCTCAACAGCTCTCCCCACATTCAAGCACAACGCACGCGCACGCACCACACATGCCCAGCACACACCTTTACGACGGGAAAGTGTCACAAGCGTAACGGTGAGGATTCTGAGTCTCCCTCAGATATCTGCAATTCTGAGCCAGCCCCCCACTCGGCAGAATCATATTCAAAGACATTAGTGATTCAGCCTATAGTCAGAGTCCAGACTCTTAGTCATGCCACGGGCCTAGGACAACTTCCCACCCATTAAGTTAAATGTAAACATGAAGGAGAACAAAGTGATGTAATTACAGCTAGGATTTATGATGCATTTACCAAAACTCAGACGTTAGAAAGCAATGCCCTAAGTCACTGTAGTGATAAGAACGTAAGTTCAGTTTCCTACACGTCTGTATCATGAGTCACGAAGTCTTATGTCATTGCTCTCTTGTTTTCCTAACTCAAAAATATACTCATTAGGTACCATTTCTGAGAAACAGTGTTTATTTTAAACACTCAGTGTGGAGCTGCCTAGGGGTCTTTAGGGGTTGTTGTCAGATACTCAGAAATCCCAGAGGCTCCATTTTTCACATCCCCTATAAAGAATTCAGTCAGATGCAGACGCATAAATAGAAAGCGACTGAGCGGTCTATAGTTGCTGAATTATGTCTGGGCAAGTGGTACCCTGGGCTCCACGTCAAAGGGAAGTGTCATCGGGGGCAGACAAGCCTGAAATAATAATATTTTATCTGATTCATCTCTCCCCAATGCTAGACTCAGAAGCAAACACATAAAATACGAGTACATTTCAGGTCTGAGCTGGAGATTCAGCAGCAGGGAGGAAAATTAGACACCCACCGTTTGTCTGTGCGAACACAGAGATGTGCACGCCATCACTGTGAAGAACGGACACCAGGGCTGGGGTGCGGCCCAGGGTGCAGCACTTGTCCAGAGCGCCTCAGGCCCTGGGTTCCATCCCCAGCCCCCGCACACAGAAGCCGCTCTGTTTTCTCAGGAGTGAGGGAGTACAGGACTCCAGGAACCGACACCCTCCAGGACTCTGGAAACCTAAATATTCTCCCAAGCAGTCTCTCACCGGAATTTTCCAGCGACCCCACCAGGCAGTCAGAACTGCTATCTGCATCTTAGGTGTGAGGAAACTGAGGCACACAGAACTCAAGGTACTCTCAGGTGGTTTGCAGCCAAACCCCTCACCATTCTGGAACAGTCTGAATCTGGAAACAGCTGCTGGGTAGACCTGCCGGAAGCCCAACTGTAGCCTGCCTACGCACGCAGATTCTGAGTGGATTTCAAAACCAGCACTGCGGGAACCCAGCCCTGCGGCGCTCGGTGTCGGAAGGTGCTCTCAGAATGCAGAAATAAAAGACGCAGAGTGCAGGTCCCACATCCAAAGCGAACGCCCCATGTTCTCTAAATAAAATGTCAACACACTGATTTAGCAGGACTTAGAATATGAGAAACCAACTCTCTTCTCCCCGCTGCTCCCACACCTCCCCAAAAAGCAGAATTTATCACTGGCCTCTCCTAGTTAACTCCGACAGGGCACCATCAGGCTGTAACTCACAGGCCTAACAGCCACCCCGTGCTCCCTGACACGGCGACCCATACATCTCCACCGACAGGGGCTTAAATTATGACACCACCGCCAGGGAAGTGGATGCAAATCAGATGCCTCAGTGCGCTGGTGTTTAGAACTGAGTTAGTTCCTAGACAGGAAGAGGCTGACAGTCACACCAAGTATTCGCTTTCAGGGCCTCAATGGCACTTTCTCCTCCAGGGCCAACGCCAGCCTGCTCACTAAATCCAGAGTAAACCAGCGATCCAGGTGGGTCTCAATGGGCAACACCCACGCTCCTCACCGACACAGACCTCGGGCCGTTTCTAGAGCTCAGCACACGGCCGCCTCATCGGAGGTCAGTTTTAATGCCTTTCTTCCTCTCCCCTTTGGACAGCACAAGATGTTAGTGCCCGCCTTGGGGAGAGGCGTCCGCTCATTAGCACCTTAGACTAGATGAGGAACTCGGGTCTGACTTCCAGGTTGTGTACGCCGAGACACAGAGCAATCACTACCTTCTTTACCTGGACGCAGAAGACAAAAGGAGCAAGCATGGGGTCTGAGGCGACTTTACTGCATTAAGAGACCGAGCGGTGGCCACAGGGCGCAGCTGGTCCTTGCTTAGCACATAGGAGAACGTGGGTTTCATCCCCAGCATGACAAAAACAAAGAACAGAGGAAAAGAAAAGACAGGTGGTGGGATCAGTGGGCAGGGAAAGGGACTCTCCACATGGCCAGGAAGTTCCCTACGCAAGAGGCACTTCTGGACAAGCCGGCTCCACAGTAACCAGTCATCTCCCAGAATTCCGTGGCTGCGGCGCTCCCAAGGAACACCAGTGATGGGACCCACCAGGGCAAGGGGGTGGCGAGAGCAGGAGGTCGGGGGTCTCATCTATGCCACGCGGAGCTCTAGCCACATCTGGGGAAAGCCGTCACCCCTGCTGGTGAGGCCCTGGCCACGCCTGGTCAGACGGTGCAGACGCCGACAGGCACTGCAAGGTCAGAGTGGTGGGAGGTGCTTTGGGACGTGAACACTATGACCTGACTTTCCTGCTCTATCATGGCAGAATATAGCTTTTTCTTCAGGAGAACAGGACAAATGACATGTTCAGGCAAGAAAAATGAGTATCTTGTGGCCTCAGTTTCCACATAAAACTGTGACAGATGGGCCAGACTATCTCCCAGATTGTCCTTCGCATAAGCAAACTTCCACGTCCTACTTCCGTCTCCCGTGAGCTTCTCCTTTCCATCCTCAGCTGATTCTTCCGAGCGTTTCCCATTAGGATCCTGGTCACAGCCAGCATGCCCAGTGACCCCCCGAGGCCCACGTGTTAAAGGCTCAGATTCAAGAGTGATGCTGTGTGGACGTGGGACCCTTCAGGAGGTGCAGCCTGCGCATGCTCCGTACATCACTGAGCGTGAGCCCTTGGGGACTCAGGGGCCAGCCCCTTCCTGCGCTCCTGGCTTCCTCCATCAGGAGACGAACGGTCTTCTCTGCACATGCGCCACATCATTGCCACCCGGCACTCCCACCTGAGGCCCAAGGCAATGAGTCTGCCTGATCTTACCAAACCTCCCAAACCATGGAACTGGCCTAAACCTTTGCTCTTTATAAGCTAATTATCTCAAGCACTGCATTACAGTAACAGGAAACTAATACAATCACCGATCAAAACAAATGAAAGTGCATTTTCTACCATGTGATAAACAGTAAATACAGATCGTTGCAAGCAACCCATTAGTATTTTATGGTCATTGACTGAAGTCTTGCTGATTTCCTACAGCTGCTCAAATCTCACTGAAGGACTGGTTTAGAGCATGACGTATCTCCGTTTACAATGTGACTGCTTGCACAAAACTATGAGCACTTTTAAAGGAAGAGGGCCATGAGCTGAAACAGGAAAGCAGAGAAGACGTACCAAGAGGTTCTCTGGCTTGATGTCCCTGTGCACAATGCTCAGGCCATGGAGATATCGGAGGGCATTGGCGAGGTTGTACACCATGGCGCTGCCGTCTCTCTCAGTGTACTTGGTCGAAGAAGTAATCGCATCAAAGAGATCTCCGCCCTACAGCATTCATAAAAGAACACATCAAAACATGAACAGGGCAATCCTGTGAAGGTGAGAAAGGCGGTCCTCAGCCTGGAGCAGATGAAGGAAGGGCCACAAGCACCACTCAAACCCATTACAATAACGAAGTTACAGAGCAGCCCAACACGCTTCTCCTTGGGCCCTCCAGGAGTACTGCAAGTCTGGAAACTCTCCCTCCTCCTACCTTGACCAACTCCATCACCAGAAAGAGCTCAGTTGCTGTTTCCATCTCCTCGACCAGCATGATGATGTTGGGATGTTTCACTCGGCGCAATATTGACACCTCATTCTCGATCAGGTGTTCCTGTCAATGAAGCACGGAGAGAGGGAATCAGAAACCACACAGCCCTCTGCTCTGCCCCGAAAGCCTACAGAATAACAAGGTCTGCAGATCTGAGTCCAAGGAAGAGCTCTCTCTTTACACCGAGAGAACCAAACCCTGGCCTACTCGGTTCTAGGGACGAGACAGGACAGCGTGGACAGTTTATTGCCATTTGCAGAAAGAAACAGACTTATAGACACATCTCAGAGGGAGGGCATCCCCCGAAGCGGCTCTGCAGAGTTGCTCTGTAACGCAAAACCTACCGCCTTTATCTCTTCAACACCGCAGAAGGCTTCGACCCCATCAAAGCTTAGGCACACAGCACCATGCTACGTCAGCAAAACGACTTTTTCACTTAGTCTACACTCAGAAACAAGACTAGGCAACTGAGAAAACCTGGTATGCTTTCGGCACACCACTTCTGCTCTGTAATTTTTTTTTTTTTTTTTACTTTTTAACCATCATCAATATAAATTTTATTTTCATACTGAAATTCGTGAAAAAGAAACTTTCATCCTCTGCAACTGGGTGTGAAGTCATTCACCAGATGTATGGTCCTTGTCATATTTATTTTGGAAATCTAGAAACATACAGTACCACAGAGGTCACTATTCTAATCTTAACTCTGATCACTTTCCTGAAAATGACACCTGACTCTCAGTCCTGGTGAGTTATGCAGGTGGGATCGGCACTGTAGCGAGGTGTTTATAACAGAACTAAAGAGTTGCTCTCGGGGGCTGGGGATTTAGCTCAGCAGCACAGCACCTGCCTGGCAAGCGCCAGGCCGTGAGTTTGATTCCCGGTACTGGAAAAAACAAACAAACAAACAAACAACAACAAAAAAAGAGTTGCTCTCAATACACTAACCCAGGAATTGCCAACGATTCCTGTTTTACATAAGACATGAAAACCTCTCAAGAATGCCGCATTTATTGATCTTCATTAACTTCAATAATGAATTTTGAATTTAGCGAATTCTCTATAAAATGTGCTAATTGCCCACGTACATACTCTAGGCAGTAAAACAAGATAGCTTTTAAATACAGCTTGCCTTTTAACAGATGTTGTTTATTACCTAAATACACATGTATGTAACACATGTACAGCTACACATGTGTGTCCCTCATACTGTCCTTCTGCCTTTACTATCATGAACCTCAGAGCTACAGGCAGTCTTCTGATACAGCAGCAAGGTAACCGTCCCAGGTAGGATACCATCTGGGTCTCTTACCTTTGAGCCTCCACGTGTATGTCTCTAGGCTATCTCTAAGCTATCTCTCTCTCTCTCTAGGCTCTCTCCAATTCTTTTTGACAACAGCTGGAGACATAAATTATTAAAAAAATGAAGAAACAACACGCAGGGAAATCTGTTGCAAGCCCCCGCACATGTGGGGTTGTCTTTCTTGAGCATTGAATACACTGTGCTTGTCCAAAAAGTTGCTCAATAAACTGGTAGGTGACAATCTGAATGCTAAGCTTAAGCAAGAGATAATAATGAATGTATAATAAATATATACATTTATAAAATATATAATATAATAATAATGATAATAATAAATAATGAGTATTTACTGGAAACCCACTACTTGTCATTTATTTCTGTGCTCGAGGTACTTGTGTAATGATTGAACACTTCAATCTTAGACCAGGCATTGGAGACAGGAATATGCACCTAGATTTCTGGCTTCCAAGTCTACACTTCTTGTTCTATACACAATCACTTTTCAAAAGAGGATGTGTCTGCAAAACCCAAGCTGGAATTTTCCAAAATGAAACGATAGCTAAAAAGCTGAGAATATTTGATTCCCTAAGCAGACAAGTGCAAGCAACAGCATCCCCCCGAGTGGGGGGCAAAGAACCACCAGGCCTCATGTAGAAGCAGAATCTTTCAATGAATGGGGCTGAGAAATCTTTGACTCGCTTAGGACTCAACAAACCCTTCCAAAGTTCCCCGTAAGTATGGTGGTTCGCAGATCATACTAATTCCCGGCTAGATAACTGGGGACAGGGTGATGGCCTCCTACCTATTTCCAGGTCCCATCTGTCTAAGTCACAGAGCAACAGCACAAGGCAGCAGCCGGGGCCCTGGTCCTTCCCCTCCGCAGGAGGCAGTTCTACAGCCAACCTCTGGTGTCACAAAGCAAGACCTGGCATGCCCACCCCACATTCGTTCACAGGGTCTAACGCTTTTGGATCCTTGGGCTAGGTATGTCCTTAATCACCCTGCAAAAGCAGAGCTAGGCCTTCGGTGAGTATGTAATATTCGAACTTATTTTGCTCTATAGGACGCAAAAACAACAGCACACACTACCACTGTAGTAAAACAGGCTATTTTAAAGTTACATGGATCCATCACTTCGATCCTCCTCCCCATTTTCCCAAAAGTTGGAAGAGTCAATCAATTTACTTCTCTTTCAGGGCCTGTGATGCTAATTTATATATAGAACAATCACCATCACCAGTTCCCCGAGAAACACTGCAATTGGAGTTAAAACAGGAAGTCAACCACATAAGGGAACTACGCCTCCCAAAAGTTATTATCCTTTTCAATAAAAGGCACGCAGAAAGCCTTTGGGGACATATTGCGCCACCAGCAGCATTACATTTTAAATATTGAGTGAGTATTACAGCAACGTTTTCTCCATTATTTATTGCTTCAACTTCCTGTATTCTACCTGACCAAGGCCAGATTCCTAGGCACAGTGAGTGCTCTTGTTGCATGTGGCAGCTGGTAGCCTTTGTTTCTCCACTTCTTCCTGTCCCTGTGAAGACACCTAGCAAACCCAGCAGCAGCAGCAGCAGCAGCAGCAGCAAAACAAAAGCCTCGCCTCAAACTTTTCACAAACATCGTCTCCCTATCCCTCATGAGCTCCATTGTTTAGTCTTTGGTTCTAAAACGTAAGAAGCCTTTAGGCTACATTTTCCAAGAGAGTATTTCTAAATATGGTAAGAATATTGATTTTTGTCTTAAACCATAATGAATTTACATGATATGATCGTTAACCATTATTTACGTTAAGTGATTTCAGGATTCGACTCCAGATAATTTACATAAGAATCACTTCATGGCAGGGCTCCAGGGGTCTGCATGAGCAAGTGACAAAGAAAACAGCCGGCTTGGCAGAGGATACGGCTTGGCAGAGGATACTGCGGAGTCTTTGGCCACAGGGATTTTACGAGACAAAGAGAGACAGAGAAACAGGTGAGAGGAGTAAACAACTTTCCCAGAGGAAACTCACCCACTTCTTTTCCATCTCTTCCAGACTCACACAATCCACTCCTCCTGTGTTCAGGCTCACTGCATGAACTTAGGTCCCCAAAGCAGAAAGGAGAAGCCTGCCTTGATTTCTCCCCGCGCCCCCTCGAAGGGATCCCTGCTCATTACCTCCGCCACAGCCTCAGAGTCTGTCCAGTCCGTCCACCCGTTCACCTCCCTCTCCTCTCCTCGCCAGCCTCTCATCTAGACTTCCAAGAGCACGTGCCCAGCCAGTCTTCACCTGGGACTTTCTTTACCTGGCTCTTGGGGATCCCCTCTGTATTCCCCAGGGTCACATTAGGTCTCTACGCTCACTCAGGGCTGGGTCCGGGGAGTCCTGCGCTCCCACCCGTCACAGCTGACCTCCCCGCCTCCCCGCGCTGGGTGGCTGGCCATTCACCTGCTCTGGGATTGAGTGCTTTAGGGGTTTGGCCAACTCTCTCCAGCAACCAGCAAGCTCCTCACCCAGTGGGCGCCGAGGTGCTTCTGTGGATGAATGCACACACCAGGCGCCATGCTTGCCTGACACAGGCTTTACAGCTGTTTGCCACACTCCTTCAGGGAATACTGCTGATGGGACAGCAGGAGAGAAAACCTTCCCATCACAATAGGTGGTTGCGGGGCAAATCTTCACAGTAGGCTGAAGGACGTTCACCCAAAAGCCTCAAGTCCTGACCCCTGGAATTTGTAAATACTTCTCTGTTTGGAGAGAGAATTTCCACAGATGTGACTGAGGCTTCTGCAGTGTGGAGATAGTCCCAGATGATCTGTGTGGGCCGCAAATGCCACGGCAAGTGCCTTCTAAGAAAGAGGCAGCGATTTCAGAGACAAGGAGGAGCAAGAAAAACAACAGACAGAGGTAGGGAGGGTGCGGCCACAAGCCAAGAACTGGGTCAGCAGCTGAAACTGCTCCAGGCAAAGTCTCCAGCTCCAAAACTGTGAGAGAATGGTCTTCTATTTTTCAAACCACCAAATTTGTCATGATTTATTCCAACGGCCTTGAAAATACACACATTATACTTTTGGGTTCATGTCCTGTCTGGGCCCACACCCTGTATATGATGGGTACAAACCCTGAAAGGTGGGGAGAGAAGGACCAAATCTAAGGGGGCAACAGGAGCCCACACTGTGGACCTCAGGAAGTCAAGGAATACCGATTTAGCACGAAAGAGAGTATTAGCACCAAAGAGAGTATTAGAAGTGGGAGAACTCGTAACTCCACAAACACCGCAACCTTCCTCACCAGCCTCCACACACCGGCCCCGAGGCAGATCTTGCAGTAACCTCCTCCTCAGAAGGACTCGGCACGCTCTGCGCCCTCTAGCCTTCGCTCAGCAGCTCTGGCCACCTAGTGGGCTCTTCCACCATGGCTGTCCACTGAAATCTGACCCTGATTCCAGGCCTAGCTCAAGGGCATCTTGCTTCAGTCTTTACTAGTCACCTACTTTTCCATTCTAAGTTCCCGTAACACTCCGCAGCACTGGTATTCGTATGTTACAGTACCCTGTTGCTAGTACAGTGTCTCCTATACAAAAGACACACCCCAAATCTTAGGTGACTGAAAAAGATAATCGAACAATGCTCAGGTACATTTCAGAAAAGCAAACAGAAAGCAAGAGACATTAAGACTTTTTCCCAGATTCATATAACATGACAAATAAACTGAACTGGCAGCACACACACTGGCCAGAGAGACCCAAAGCCCCATCGCCCTTCCACTGCTGCCAGATGCTGGGAAGCTACTCAATCTGATCTCTGCCGATCTGGAGAACAGGCACCGTGAAAGGAAACGTGCAGGGTTACTGTCCATACAAGTTCGGACAACGCTTTCTAATGGCAGGTATTTTCAGCTGTCTTAATTTTCTGTACACAACCCACAGCAGAAGTGACCAATGATATTCCAGACCATTGGCTGCATGTTCCCTTAAATTTCTTTTAAAAACAAACTTTTATAGTGTTTTTATCTAAAACCCAATTACACGGTAAAAAAAACAACCTATTTATAACAATATCAATTTCTCCATTACAATTTTATCTAATGTCATTGTGAAAATAGCTGTTCAAACAAGCAAAGTGTAAGGATGGAAATAAGTGATCATGAACTGTGAAAGTAGAATGACATTCCACAGCAAGAAAAAATTCAGTTGGAGTACCCTATCCATTTGTCTCAGCGGGTGAATCAGACTAAATACTTTCCCTATACAAAGATCACCTTCAATTACAAAAATAGTTGCGTAAGTTTTAGTCAGGAAAACAATGCTCTTACCACAGCAACTATTTTACTTTTCTGAAAAAAATTTAAAGTAGTTTTACAGAACCTGGCACATTCCACTGAAATCACACAACGGACAGAAAGAGAACAGTCACGTACGGGGAAAGGGCTACTACAGTGGGAAGAAATTAATACTGTTAGAATAAGTAAAAGCTCATAAACTGAAAGAAAAGGAAGAAAAGGGGACATTTTACAAGCTCTGCTTTGCTGACCATCACAGTTTAAGACAAAACAAAACAAAACAAAACAAAACAAAACAAAACAAAACACAGTACATGACATATCTGTCTCCTGGATTTTTTATTCCAGGGACTCTGAGAATAATTTCCCAAAACTTCACCATAGTATTTTTTCTGTTAAAAATGCACAATGTTGAAGACTTTCAATAAAGACCAGTTTATGAGTTCTATAAATACAAAAGCACAGCTATCACTTTGAGTCCTGCTAAATATAAATTCTAAATTCCTCTGGCATATTAATGTTAATAGTTGACAAGTGTTAAATTCTGGAACTTTTCTACATATTTTCCCATCCTTCATTTAATAAATCATCACAATAACCTTATATATTATGTATTAGTAATAAATCTGAGAGAGAAAGAAAGAAAGAAAGAGAAAGAAAGAAAAAAGAAAAACAAAAAGACAGAAAGAAAGACAGACACAGACAGAAAGAAAGAAAGAAAGAAAGAAAGAAAGAAAGAAAGAAAGAAAAAGAAAGAAAGAAAGAAAGAAAAAAAGAAGTTAAATAATTTTTCCAAGGTCACACAGCAAGATGAAATAGAGCCAGGATTAAACGATATATTCTGCCTCTGGACTAGCACTGGCCAAGAGAAGCATGCTGTGATCCATATATGTAATTCTAAATTTACTGAGAGCCACAGGGAAATATGAGAAGCAGCAGACAGAATTACCTTTAAAACTATAACTTACTTAACCCCACATATCTAAAATATTATCATATAATAAAATACAGTGGTACTTTGGTTCATGAACTTAATTCTTTCCAAGATTCTGGAAGCATCGAATTCAATGGTTAAGTTCAATGTTGACCTTATGGGGAAATTTGATTTGATTTTTGTCCAATTCAACAAGATATTTTACATTTTTTTTTTAGTACTAAGTCTTCAAAATCTGGTGTTCATTCTATACCCACAGGTGTGATCAAATATGTATGAATATTTAAAGTCCAAAAATATTACAGAAGACAACACATTATCCCATCAATCATGTCACTTTCTGAAACAGTTCTGGAAATAATTCTTTTGTGTGTATCTTTAGTTGTGCTACTACTATGCCTGCCTTGATATTCGGAATCATTAAAAACATTTACGTTTGGTGGTCCTTTTGACTCTGGGGGAGAGTCAGACATGGTGCCACATCCGGGGAATAAGGTGGACAAGAACACACTGAAATATTTTTACAAGCCTCTGTCTTGCCTCTGGATGGTAACTGGTGGCAGGGTTCACTGTATTTTTGGATCATTCCTCATACAGACCTCATTAAAAAGGACTTCCAGAACTGCTTCAGAAAGTAGCAAGAACCATTGGGTAACCACTGGGTGTTTGAAGTTAGGGAGAAAATTTTGAGGGGGACTGATAGCAATGTGTCTTGTATTATAATAAATTCTTTAAAGTTAAATATTCACCACATGCACTGTTTTGATCACACTCTGCATTTCAACTCAGACTCACCTAATTTCAGGTGCTCAGTAGTCACTGGTGGCCCATAGCACCAGGGCTGGTCACCGTAATTCTAGAGCCCTCTCTCTTCACTGACATGCTACCAGAAGCAATGTGTAAAGGTCTTTATGACCACTGTTAGCAAATACTTCTTTTCAGACATAAAGTAGTGACACTCTAGCAAACTTTTTCTAAACACCAAGACAAGACCTCTCCTCGGGGCACAGGGTAGATCTGTTTCCTGGCCAGGGGAATAAACATAACACGCTCTCTGGGGGAAAGATGGCAGAAGTTTCCCAGTAGCACCTTCATAAATAAGATGGGGTTTTCTAAGTTTGGGGTTCCTCAGCTCTCAGCCATAAAACTGTGTGTATAGCATCCAACTAGGTCCTGAGCATTACTTCCATGGGACTTGAAGCTCAGAGAACACACAAGAGTTTATTCCATTCGCTGTGCCAGGAATACTAAAGTCTTTTCTCTCTAACCCAGGAAGCTTGTATTTTCTGCCAACCACCACGAGGCGAATTTACTAGTGTAAAAGTAGGGTGACATCTCAGGCCCATCACAGTTCATGTCACACCCTTTGAGTGTTGCTGCATTTTGAACTAGGCATCTCCCAGAGAAGGTAAGTTACATTTTCTATAGTTATGACCAAGATCTAATCAATTTACTGTCTTAATATTAAAGTTTCTGAAAAGCAGTAGAAACAATAAAAGCTTAACTACTTTCCCAGCCATGATTGGAGATACATAAGTTACATTTTCTATAATTATGACCAAGCTCTAATCAATTTACTCTCTTAATATTGAAGTTTCTGAAAAGCAGTAGAAACAATAAAAGCATAACTACTTTCCCAGCCATAACTAGTGATACACTCCTGCAACTATGGTCTTGGCAAGTCCCCTCAAATTCCTTCCCCACAGGAAACACCTCACTACATTATCTCAGTTTCATTTACAAAGCAGTTATGCATACTATACCTTTCCACAACATTTGGCTTTGTCTATAATCTTTAGAGCAAACTCCTTTCCAGTAGACCTAGGAATAATCAGAGGAAACCACTTAAAGACATAAATAAAAGATGCCACCCTTCCTAACTTTCTCCACCCCACAAACAGGGAAGAAAGGTTTGGCTTCTTTTCAGCATCAAAGAAATGTCAGAAGAGGAAGATAACCAAAAACCAAAACAAAACAAAACAAAACTCAAAGTCACATTGCATGTTAACTAAATCTCCTTTTACAAATATTAGTAGTTAACTTGTCTTTAACCTATATTTAAATTGTTCTGTCTAGACCTAGACAAATAGTTTGTCTCTACTTAAATTTTGAGTTCCCTTAAGATATAGGACAAAATTAAGAAAAACAGATCAACTTAAGTGAAAAAAAAATTTTATCATCAACGTGTCTTTAACACATCTGTCACATTATGCTGCAATTCTAACCTACAAAGTCCTCAGACTTTCATTATCTACTTGGTAGCCAGTAAGTGTCAACTGGGATTTGAAGTCATGTTATACACACCTTTGAATGACCTCATCTGGCATGAGAGACAATTTGGATGCTAGAATCTTGTTTTTTTTTTTTTTTTTTAACCAGTAATCAAACTCACAACCTCGCACTTGCCAGGCAGGCACTGTGCCGCTGAACTATATTCCCAGCCTAGAATCTTGATGTTATTACTTAACTTTTTAACCATTTTCAACATAGACTGAATGTGCCACAGAAGATCAGAAAGTGAAAAGTTCAATAAAGAGCACTAAAATATACTTGGAATATGTTAGTTCTCAAGGATAGCTGCTTTTGCCAGGTAGCCAGAGTATACACCGATGAGGCCGAGAATGAAAGAAAAACTTTACTGAAACTGCTCCTCCTAAGTGATAACCCAACCCTGACTCACATTTCTACCAAGTCCTTGGAAGTTATAATTTAGACGTTTAACACATTACTTAGGTGGCTGCCTGTATATCAAAGCCAGGTAAGGTTTAGAGAGCAGCGAGCTAGCTGCCCATGTATCAAAAGGAGCACTGCATTTTTTCTGAGATGAATCAAAGTGGGAAAAAGCCTGTGGTTTCTAGAACTTTCTGGAAAATTCACTCCAAAAAAACCTAAATATTAGTCATGTAAGATCACGTAGGACAGTGGTCTAAAAACACAAACACTTCAAATCTGAGTCTTTTTTGGCTTCAATATTGTATTTACAAAAGGCTTAGATCAGGCAAAAAGTTAGCTGATTCTGACCCTTAAATAGTCAGTCACCAGATCCTGAGCTCTACCAGTTGTGTTAATGGACAGGATGACTGTGAAAATCAAATCAGTTATATCAGTACAGACTGAGAAGGCTGCCTGGCACAGGAGTTACAGATTGTATAAAATGAAATGACTCTTAACTCTTCCCTGGACCTCTCTCAGTCCAAACGCACACCCAACAGCGTTACATTCTATGTGTGCACATGTACTTTTTCCCGTCATGCTGACTGCGGCTTTGCCAAGGGGCTAGTCTCAAGAGTATAGCCATTCAGGAGAGGGAAAGCGAGGCTCCTCAGAAAGGCCTTTGGTTCATTTAGTAAACAATAAATTCCAAGGGAAAAAGTATGTGTGGGTGAACAAATAATTATCCTCACTACCCACTCACCTATCTATACACTCTTTGACAACTGCGAAATTGCCATCACCAATGACCTTCCCAATCTTGTATTTCTCAAGAAGAGTGGATGATTCAGAACACCTGTTTCCATTCAAACCTGCAAAAAAAGGGTAAGTGCAAAGTCTAAAGGAAATTATCAGCATTTTATATTCATTCCTGTATATTTATAAAAAAACAAAATGCAATGCATGTAAGTCTACGACAAAACTAAAGAAAATCTCTCAACATATTCCTCAAATAGAATATTTGAGGGCCGGGAATGTAGCTCAGTGGTGCAGCACCTGCCTGGCAAGCACAAGGCCCCCAGTTCGATTCCTGGTACCACAAAAAAGAACAGTGAAAAAGAAAAAGACCAAAAAGAACCCCTTTAAGAATGCTTCAGTTATCAATTCCTTTTGACCTTGTTCGGTAGAATCAGAAACCAACAAAATCAATAATCCTAAGAAATCCCGAAAATATCAGCTAGTACAGATGATTAGCCTTAGGTAAAAAGAAAATCTAATTAAACTTTTCCAAACTCTTCTGTCAATGCTCAAGAAAGAGGAAAGTGGTGATTTAACCTTACAAATGTTCTTAACATTTCTCAAAGATTTTTCTAGTAATGAAAATTCTACTAGATTTCTTTTTTTCTTTTTTTTTTGGAGAGGGTGAAGTTTTAGGAATTGAACCCAGGAGCTCACACATGCAGGCAGCACTCTACCAGTTCTAGAGGTGGGCATGGTGATGCACACCTGTAATCCCAGCTACTCAGGAGGCTGGGGCAAGAGGATCACAAGTTCAACACCAGCCCAGACAACTTAGTGAGATTGTGTCTTAAAAAACAGTCTGGGGATGCTGTAGTAGAGCACCCCCGGGTTTCACCTGCAGTGTAAGGTTTGCTGGTGTTTATCAAAGTAAGATGTGTTGTCAAGGTTAATTTCTGGCTCAGGGCTTTCTCAGAAAGGTGTGTGGGGTGTGGGTTAAGATGAATATAGTCATTACGTACTACAAGCATGTATTAATAAATACAAAAATGTTTAAAAACATCAGATCACTTGTCACAATGTGTGCCAGTGCCAAAGACATGGATAGAATTTTTTGTGATTTGAGAAGAAAGGAAATACATTCAGGAATTGAGAACAGACTCATCACTCAGGAAAGATAAAGGAGCCCACATCTAAAATGTGAAGCCGTGAAGCCTAGAGTTTAATGACAATGAGATTTTATATAAGCGGAAGTGACCCCCACCACCAAAGGCTGAGCTAATAGGTGACAGGAACCTGTCCCTGTCTGAGAAGGTCCTACGGGTGATATTCCTATGAAATACCGAGCACTACCTTCAGGACTCATGCAACGGTCCAGGTCAGGTCCGCCGTTTACATTGGAAGATGATCTGCCATGAGCAGAAATCTGCTGAAAGAGAAAAGTGCCCATTATTTGTTAGGGTACATTTACAAATCTCCAGCTCACTCATCCTTAAGTAGAAAATGTTTATACGGTGCAGAAACAGAAGATATTCCTTCCTCACCTCTTTCTCTCCGCACAATACATCACATTAATGTGTTTGTTCCTTAGGTAAATTTTCAGTTCTGGTTCAAACCAGATACTGGGCTGCTTCCGACTTAAATAAAGGAAAGGAGGCTCTATGGCATCACAGCTGAACAAAGTGCTTATTAGCGGCAAAATAAGGCTCAGGACAATACATAATTCCAACAGTGCTAGGCGAACACCTGCTTCCTAGGCATTTGCTCATTTTACTGCCTACCAATGAAAGATAATTGGGCAACCAGACATTGTCAATATTTAATGTTTTTTCCCATTTTTTGGCACTGAAATTTGGCAACCCCAAAATCAGCAGTACTCTTAGAGAATGTTTAAAAGCTAGAATGTTTAAAGCCAAGCTCAGAGAGGGAACTCACGGAAAATCTTAAAGAAAAAAAGACAATCCCAACAACCTCTATTCCACTCCCTACCCACAGCTGCCATCTTGGTTCCGTCAAAGAGCTCTCAGATCCTGTTAGCCTCTCCCACTCCACACATCATTCCAGCAAAACTTTCCTTCTGAGTAGTTATGAGCACACCCTCAGGATCCGAAAACCCCAGTGAGTCTTTGTTCCCTGCAGAATAACCCCAAAATTGGTGCCATGGGATTCCGGCCACTGTTTGCCCCCCACCTACCTGTGAAGAGTGTTTCCCACCACTTTTTTTCTCTCATACATTCTATGGTCAAGTAACTCAATTTCTTTTTTTCAAAGTTACTCGAACTTTTCAAGTGTTAAAAGCACAGTGGCCGCACCCAGTGAGAGATGTGCTAGGGAACCGTGACTGCACACCTGTAACACTGTTTCCAGCTACTGTCACGAAACAGTGACTCAGCGTTAGTGCTGCTCCTCACAATCCCTAGCTCAGAACCTTGAAACGAGTCACTATTCATATTTTTGAACTATTGAATATAAAATGTCTAGAAGATAATTTTTTAAAATTTTATTTTAAAGAGAAATACAATAAAAATGATACAAAATTTCAAAACAAGATCATAGGAGAATAACAATGGTCCATGGTATTGTTATCTTCGAAGTTACTCATACTACAAGAACACATGAAAAATTGATCAAACAAAAAAAAGAGAAATTGATCAAACAAAATAAGCACAAACCTTTCTTTTCAACGAACTAAGAGAAATTAGTAGTATAATTGTTTTAACTACCATATATATATATATTTTTTTCTTTTCCCTTCCTTCTTTGCACACCTCCCCCATCCCAGTTTCTTTTTAGAAGAGAATTTGTGCTGAACAATTCATCCCAAAGTGATTCCTCCTCTAATCCAACTGCTCCTGGACTGGAAACTGTCAAAGGAATAAAAGATCTGATTCAAGGCCTGGCGTGGTGGTGCACACCTGTAATCCCAGCACTCAGGAGGTGGGAAGGGGTGAGGCAAGAGGATCATTTTGAGTTCGAGGCCAGCCTGGGTTACAAGGTGGGCTCAAGGCCAGCCCGAACTGCAGAGCGAGACCCTGTCTCAAGAAGTCAAAAAATAAAAAAAATCTGATTTAGTTACCATCAAATTCTTAACGGAATAAGCACAAGAATGTAATTTTTCTGGAAAGTCAATCTCAAAGGGTAAGCAGAAAGCTCCCTACCTATCCCTGACTACAGAACAAACACGAGGTGGAGGTGCAGACGGTCAAGGCGAGGCGGTGACAGTGGACAGGGATCTTTTCATCTGCAGGTCTCAATCTCACGCCCAGAGCCAGGCAACGGCACATCTCAGACCACAGCTGGCTGGTCAGGCATGGGCACAGGGCAAGAGCTGTGCGGCCTCAGGACAGCAGGCTGGGTTCGGACCCCAACACCCGCCGCTGAGGTCACAGCTCCAGCTCTGGCCCCTGCTTGGCATGAGGCACAGGCGACAGCAAAGACCCTGCAGACACTGCGGCGCGTGCCCTGTGACGGGCTGTGACTGGACTGCACACTCACTCCTCTGGCAGTGACGGTCCCATTCTTGGTTTTTTCTTCAATTTTTATTTTTTACTAGGGATGTGTAGTACGCAGGCTTCATGTTCCGCGGGCAGTCGGTCCACAGACAGCACACGTCTTAGTCCTTTTTTTACCTCCCCACACCTCCATTCCCTGATCCTGGGCCCATGTGAGAAAGATCTATCTCCCTACCTCCTAATACCCTTTATTTTGCTCTTTACTCATCATTTTGCCCTTCTATGAGAAACCATGTGCCACTTAAGCTTGTGGGTCTGATTTCTTGCACTTCACATCATGGTCTCAAGGTGCATCCGTTCCGTATGAATGGCTCAAGTGTGTCTAAGCAAGGCAGGGAGATGCTCTGCTGCTCAGAGCGCGTTGAAAAAGATGGGGAAACAGCGGGAAAGGCTGCACGGTGTTCCCAGCCACTAGGCAACTGGAAGAGGAGTTGGTAGCTGGCCGAGTGTATCTGTTGATGACTCCTCAGTTTTCTCTGCTTACCCACGGTGCTGGCTCAGCCTCCTCCATTCCATTTCTTTGAGAAGTGGAGTACTGCAATTGCTACAGGACTTACAGTTTAGAGAGAAGGAGTACACCAAAAAAAATGTGAAGTTCTGTTCGGAAACAGGTGCCTCAAAAGAAGTAGCAAAAGTGGCTACTGAACATATCAAAGTGTATTATTACTACCACAGCCAGGGTGGCACATGTCTATAATCCCACCACTTGGGAGGCTGAGGCAGGAGGACTGCAAATTTGAGTGCCTCTTGGGCAACTTAGTCAGGCCCTGTCTCAAAATAAAATATAGGTAAGGGCTGAAGATGTACTGGAATTCAATCCCCAGTACCAAGGGGGTAGGTATACTGTATATTGTTGACTTTTGAGCAGAACACTAGAAACCACTTCATTTTGATTTTTTATAAAAAGAAAACACTGGAACAGACTCTAGGAGACATTTGTGTGTAGTGAGTGGATTTTCTTGAATGCATTTTGGGAAATGGCATCATAACTCAACTGGCAAGGGCCAGAAAGTGGTATTTTAAGGCTTTGTTAGTCATACGCTTTCTGCCGAAGCCAACACAAAACACATATAAACAAATGAGCATGGCTGTGTTTCAATAAAGTTTTATTTAAACAAACAGGCTGAATCTGGCTAGCAGGAAAACCACTCTGCCTGAGCTTTCTTAGGAAAACTTTTCCTCCAGCATGATTCATATACTGTTCTCTCACATCCCAGGACAGAGTAACTTTCAGGGAATGGTTGCAGCCCTGCGGCAGCAGCTCTCTGCACATGGCTGCATATGAAAGTCACATAGGAAGCTCTGGAAAACTCCACTACCAGGCTGCACCCAGATTAATTAAAGGTGCCGTCCAGGTTTTACATTTTCTTCTAAAGCTCCACAGATGGACCAATGTGCAGCCAAGGTTGACAACATTTGGGAAGAAAGTCTCTAGCAGGGACCATAATGAACTGTTCGGCTGTAGTAATTAAGGCTCTCTCTCTCATCCAACAGACGAAGCACCGCGAGTCATCTATGGCCAAAGAGGAACTTTCTCTTTGTACAAAAAGTGAAGAAAACACCCATGTTTCACTGAATGCATGCTTTGTGCTAGGTCTAAGAATCTAACAAACATTTCTTCTTAAAAAGACTCCTTCTGAAGTATATTGAATCAAGTATACTAGGCAGTATTTATAAAGATTCACTTCATTTTTGGATGAAAGAAGAAGCATTAGAAGCATTAATCCCAGTCACTAGAAGGAAGTGTAAATTACTGTTGACTTAGGGCAGCATACAAGAACAGAAACCTTTCATCATATATTAACTGGATTTCTGTTCATTTAAATACCTCGAGCTGGGTGTGGTGGTGTACGCCTGTAATTGCAACACGGAGCCAGGAGGACTGCCTCGAGTTGGAGGCCAAGCTGGACTATCCAGCGAGTTCAAGCCTATCCAGCCTGGAAGGCATAGTGAGACCCCAACTCAAAAAGCAAAAATAAATACTTGAAAAACTTCAATATGACTAATGGGACATGACATGAATCTGACTTATCACCAAGAGGTTGGTAATGTATGGAATATTCCTATCTGTGGCCATTTCTCAGACGGTTTCATTTGGCAAAATTGGCAGCACTTGAGACTTTCAGTTGGTTAAAGCCGATCAGCAGAACCTATGCTTACACAGGTAAGTGTGACAGTAGCCAGCTTGACAGTCCATCAAAGGGGCACGTGAGACGTGCTGACGCCTTCCTGTGCCCCTGGGTATCGATGTCACCTCCGGAGACCACCCTACCCGCCCAAATCAGCACAGGTATCCTTGGATCAGCCTTTCAAGGACAGCGTTGGCTTACTGGGTTTGGAGCAAGTTATAGGAGGTGTCATGGTGCCTACTTGCTAAAAACGGCTACGTGCTTTCAATGAGAGGCTTGGCTGATCTGTAGGACGTCAGGGAGCTGGAAAGGGCGCCTGCCTCTTCAGTTCAGAGGCTACAAGAACTGGCCACCACAACCTCTCAGTCTTACTTCATCCAGTTTCCTCTACTGTGCTATCAAGAAGAATTTCTCACGCCCTACTAGGGATGTTTAACACCAACATGGGTTGTTTACACTGAAATTACAACCGATCCAACTGATAAATGATTTATTGGAAAATCCTCCCTTTGGCTTCACCAAGATGGGCTTCAGACCAGATAAGCCTTTTGCCCCAAAGGTACCAAGCTTACTGAGCAACTGCAACGTGCAGACAATGTCCTCGGAGTCTGGGATTCCACCCTGTGATTTAGCTGGGGATCTGAAGTCTCTGAAACTGCCTAGTGCCTCCTTTTGCCTCCGTTTCTAACAGAATCAGTCATATTTTAAAGAGGAAGTCAACACCCAACATTTCTGGGCTAATGAAAAGTAGCTAACGCAGTAGCTTAGCAGCTTAGTCCTTAAGATTATTAACTAGTTTTAAATGCAACAGAAACGCCAAGTCTCTAGGGAAAAGCAAAAAAAAAGTCTAAGGTCAGCAGCTACTGTGGATTTACATTTCACAGCTTCTCAAAGAAGTTTTCAAGTTCACCAGGTCAAAGAGTTACATTTTAGCTCTGCCAATCAGGATGAGATACTGCCAGCGCTTTCACCACACTTCACAAATCTGGAAAATCTTTCAGCACTAGCAGACCCGGGAGACAGCAGCAGATAAAACATCAGCACATCAGATAGTTTATAATCTCAAGATGTTGGATAATGTTCCAAACTCACTTTTTTCTCCCTTCTTTCAACCAGCAAGCATGCTCACAGCAGACAGCCTCCAGGCATACACTGCAGCATCAAAACGCGCGACGTTTTATCCCTCGGTGTCCACAGATGTGCCCATGACTCTGAAGCCTTTAGTTACGACTGCCTTAGAAGTCTTAAAGTGGGACATGGATGATGAATTAAAGTTCAGGGAAATGTTTTCTTCATCTATCTGGCAGCCGATGACACATTTAGTACTCTTTATTGCCTCTCTGTCCCAAAGAAAATGCTGTGATTTAAACATAGTAAATATTCCTGCAGGGGAAGTTATCAGCTAGATCGAAGGGACTCCAAGGAGCCCCGGCAGAGGAAACAGATCACAGGCCAAGGTCAAGAGAGAATCAGGAAGATGGGGATTAAGAGAAGAAAACAATACCAGTGTTGTGGGGGGCAGGTCCCTGTGATCCGAGGAGAAGGGTATGGGGAGGGAGTCGTCAGTCTGGAGTATGAAAGGGCCGGAAGGAAAACAAAGCAATCAAATGGATTGGGGAGATTCTGACAGCCCTCGAGGAGGAGGGGAAAGATGGACAGGGAGCTTGGGAAGGACAGGATGGGGATGCAGGAGCAGCCCATGGCAGAAGTTTGGGGTGGCTGACAGAGACGAAATTGGAAAGAAGGTTCCTGTGAGGGCCAGAAACCAAAATGGCTCCCGTGAGCCTCTCCTGGTTTTCACAGCCCTATGTAGTCCGTTCCCACACCAAGTGGGCTGACTCCAGAGACACTGCAAATGCTGGGGGCTGGTTTCCAAAGCTACGTCGTGGGAATAAAAGCTTGTGTGTGCCACCGCCTCTTTCTGATCACTTGGTTCTGGGGAAAGAGAGCTGTCACGTCCTGAGGGCCTGGATCCTGAGGAACTGAGGCCTCTGCAAAAAGCCAGCACCAAGCTGCCAGGAGGAAGAGCTGCTGCCTTGAAAGTAGACCCTTCTTCAGGTCAAGCCTTCGGCCAGCTGCCGCTCAGACCTCTTTCCTGACTGTGGCATGGGACAGAGCTTGAGCCCGGCTGCCCCCAAATTCTTGACCCACAGAACGGTGTAAGAAAATAAATGTTTATTGCTGCGTCAAGTTGCTGCTTGGGGATAACTTACTCCTAGCAGAGTCATACGTAGATTAGTAATGGGGTTGGACTACTGTT